AAATGTTTTGGGCAAGATATTCTAAGAGCTCTTTCTATCTGAAGCAGCTCTAAGAACCAAGTTGATGTAGATACATGAAGGATGTTAGCAATATAGAAGGAGCAGAGGGCGGATGTTCTATCATGCACTTCCTGATACACGTTAGCAAAATCATTGTTCGTAGAGCTTTGGGAATTTGCACGGGACACCCCAGGGCTTTCTTGGGGCTTAAGCCGCAGCCCATGAATTTCATTCTGGTGCTTCTACAGAGTATAGCACTTGACCTGCTTTTCAGGGCCCTGTTCTCCCCAGCTTAGAGCAAGTAGCTCCTGTGCATGGGGCTCTCCCAAAGCCACACACGGTGGAGTTCCTGAATCCTTTCCAACAGATATTGTGCTCCAGGGAATCCACACTGGGCTGCAGAGGTGGCAACAGCGGCAATCTATTAGTCACTCTTTATTTCTGTAGTCTTCCTCTTTCCATTTTAATCATTGGGCACACGATGATGTGGTGGCATGTGCAGAAATCGACTGGTGGTAACATCGGATGTGGACCATTGCTGGGGTGGGGGAGCCCTCTGGGTGCAGGGAAGCCAGCAGGAGCCCTCAGGTGTGCACAGGAGGGGCCAGAGCAGGGTGCAGGAAGCAGGGAGGGGACAAGCTGTGGAGATGACCTCAGAATCCTGGCTGTGCAGAAGGAGAAATAGAGAAGGGCAATGTCTGGGCCAGTGGAGGGGTGACGTGGCGGAGCGCTAGAGAAGCCAGCCTCCCAGCCTCTGCAGAAATGCATCCCTACGTGCCCTTCAGAAGTCCAGGGCCTGAGGACCCGGTTGAGGAAGACTCCCTGGGATGGACTGCTGCAGGCTGAGGTCCCCAGGTGAGTGAGGCTGTGGGTGGTGGCAGGGAGGACAGGTGGGGGTAGGCTCTGGTGCCACCAGATGTGATCGTGTGGAGGGTGAAGTCAGCAAAGGCAGGCCAGGGAGGTTCCTGGGGAGGGTCTGGTTGCTGGGAAGCAGGCGGCATGCAGGCAGAGGTGTGCTTTTCGGGAACGGCGGAGAAGGAGGAGGAGGAGGCAGAGGAGGAGGAGCAGGAGCGCTGCAGGCTGCGCACGGGCCTGGGCCCAGATGGGGTGTGGCAGGCATGGAATGAAAAGCTCGCGTCTCTTCCCATTTTGTCCTAGACAAGCATCTTCCTTATCCCATTTCTCACTGTGCTCCCCCTCACACTCTGGAAACCCTCCCATGACAGACAACACTCCCCCTGCAGTAGATCCTCAGGCTTCTTATCTAGGCCCTCACCAGCATTCGAACTTACCACTCTCCCTGTCCTAACTCTTCTTTGCCCCTGGCTTTGGGGTGGAAGCTGCCCTTGGCCTTCTAGGAACTCCTAGTGTGCCCTTCCAGCGCATGTTACTCACTTCTCTGCCTGACTGCAAATGCCAGACAAAGCTTCATGCCCGTCCAGCTTTCTTCTCATTTTGTGTTCTCTGGCACCATCATGTCTGGCTTAGAATTCCCACGCCACGCTACCTGCTGCGCCTTTTGTCTGTAGTTCCCATTTCTTACTTCATATAGTCCACTGTCTGCTGGACATGGTGCTCTGATGCCTTGATGAGCCCCCACTTGAACAGCTTCAAAGCCTCACTAGAGTTTCCTTCTCCATAAATAAAGCACAACACACAGTGGACAAACCCGTCCTCTTCCTCTCTTCTGTACTACAGGAAATAGCGCCCCCAGCCAGCCCATCGCACCAACAGAGCACCGAGAGCCTGGTGTGGTGGCCCAGCTGGAGACTTAGCTCAGTACAAAGGCCCTGGGCTCAATCTCCAGTACAAAAAATAAAGGAAGAAAAGAAAAAGCAACAAAAAGTTGAGAAGCTAGGTGCCACTTTTCTTTCTGCTGCTTTTCTTGCCCATCAGCTTTATGAGAAAGTGCTGCCGGCTTCACCTCGCATGTACTTTTTCTCCACCTCTGCCGAACCGTCCTCATTCACTGCCTCGTGTATGGCGATGGGTTTATCCCCGATTTTCTTTCAAACACTGAGCTCAGCTTCTTTGATAAAAGCCCTGTGGAGGCTCCGTGCTCCGTAGCTATGGCTCTGAGCATGCTGAGGACAGCCCTGGGGAGGAAGCACCATTAGGGTGGTGCCGTGTGGCTTTGGAGCGGGTCCCAAGGCCAGCGCTCCTTGGCCTTGCTTGCTGGAGCCCTCGTGTTGTGACCCCAAGATGCAGAGCCCCCTGCTTTACACAGAAATGGCAGAAGGCGTCTGGTTGGCAGGAGTGGTCTATGTGACCTCAGCGGGGCCAAGACAAGTGAGAGAGCAGGCCTCCGGGTGACCTCAGCCCGTCACTGAGTCGTGCCCAGGGGCCAGTGCTTCCTGCTGAAGCCCCAGACCTCGTACACTGCTTCCCAGTCCCATCCTGTTTCTTCCTCCACCTCCTCATCTCATGGTCTGGCCGACTTCCAGAATGGCAGCTTTCAACGGCATAATAAAAAGCTTGCTCTTACCAGGGGAGTTTGGGAGTCATTTGTTAGGCAGCAAAAGTAACAGAAATGTTGATGCATCCCATTTGTGTTCAAAGATTTTTTTAAAAAATTCTATTTTTTAAAAAGAGAATAACAATACTGGTAATAATAAAGAGCATTAGAAGCGATACAGAGGGCTGGGGAGACAGCTCAGCAGCATAAACGCCTGCCCGGCAAGTGCAAGGTCCTGAGTCTGATACCCTGTACCCCCTGCCAAAAAAGAAATGATACAGAATTTCACTAAACAAAACAATATGAACTCGAAATATTTGTGCGTTGCACAGTGTGTTCAAAGATTAAAGAAAAGATAAATACTGGAGGATAGGATAGAGCATCTAACAAAGATACAGAAAGAAACAAAAAGGAGCAAATAAAAATGTTGTACTAAAAATACAATATCTGTAATGAATCTTACTGGATGGGCCTAAAAGCAAATTAAACTTCATAGAAAAATCTAAGTGGACCTGGAGACAGGGAATAGAGATTACGGGGCTGTGGTGGTAGCGGTGGGGAGGAGGAATAGGCAGAAGTCGTCAGGGGTGATACCGAGCAGCCCAGTGCGTACGCAGTGGGAGTCCCAGGGAGGAGAAAGAAACACCACGGACACATTTTTTGAAGAAAAAGTCAAGGAAAAAATTCAAAATTTGTTTAAAGAAAGGAAGGGAAAAGAAAAATGAGACAAAAAGAAGAAATGGAAACAAAGGTTTTGTAAACCAGGAGAGGAAGAGGGTTGAAGGAAGGGCAGGGAAAAGGAAGTCATGAGGAATCAAGCTGTGTCATGCATGAGCACAAATTCCCTGGGATGAAGGCGATCTCGCCGCTCCTCTGAAAGGCCCAGTAAACTTAATGAACAACAACAATGAAAAAGAAATATGCTCATAATTCCAGGAAGTTCAACAGTCATCAATAGATTAAGTACAAAAAAACGGCGCCTAATCAGCTTTGGAAACCAGCGATACAGAGAACATGTGAGTCGGGGGAAGGAGAACACATCACACACAAATCACTTGTTAAGAGTAGTTGTTGTATTGTGAGAAGCAACACAACATCTTAGGTGGCTTACACACACTACATCTTACAACACTGCAAGAATAATTACTCATGTTTATTTTTACATCCAAGAAAATATCTTTAAGAAATTAAAATGAAATGAAAACACTTGAAAGCAGATCAAAGATGAGGAAATTAGCAGTAAAACTTCAGATAAGTTAAAAGATGCTAAGAAATATTCCCTATTACCAGTTAAAATTACACTTTAGAAGAGAAAATCATGACCCTCAGACATTCATTAGAAAACCTTCTGGTGTTTATTTTTTGCCTGGCTTTCAACACTTTTCAATATCAGTATAACTTATGCTTATTCAACATGGGAAATAACCTTATTGAAATTGAAGACGCCCAACTCATTTCTGTCTTGTGTCTCCTGGGAAGAATATTTTGAGGAACCTGAGTCAGGTGGATAGAAAGCATACAGGAAGGGGGCGGAGAGACCACTGGGAATAGTTCGGATTGTGGGCGTGAGCGTCCGCTGGGGGCTGGCTAGGGCCCAGCAGGGAGGAGGAAGGGCCGCGTGTGCTGCAGATCAGCAAGGAAGGGCCCCGGCTGCTGCTGCGAGGCCCACGAGGAGGAGCATTCCAGGGTGCTGACTTGGGGCCCAGGCGCAGGGGAGGAGAACTCAGCCCTTCCATGTCTAGGGCAGAGAGGAGGGGCAAAGCTGGGAGGGCAGTGCGGCTGAAGGGGCCGGAGAAATAGCAGCTGGGCATGGGTGCCCTGCTGTTGGCGTGGCGCCTCAGCGCGGGCGCAGGGGAGCGAGGTCACACCTGTGCTCAGGGCGGTGCCCTCGGGGTGCTGTAGAATTTCTCCACTCCTCAGTCTCCTCTCTTCAAAGACTGGAAAACCACAACCCTATCTGTGTTGTCGTGAAGACAGCAGCATAATGGAGGGTGTGAGGGTCCTCACAGCCCCTGTCGCTGTGGTCACAGTCATGCTGGAATGAACCTCTGGTGCTACAATCTCAGGATCCTGAGCACCAGGAGACCAGAGGACAATGGTGATGACACAGGAAGGAGGGTAGAGGCTGAGGGGAGTCCACTGAGTGTCACGCTTAGGGGGTGATGACCTTCTGGTGACAGTGTTAAAAGTGCAGTACAGGGAAAGTGCTAGCTGCGGAGCTTTCTCCAAAGCAGCATCACAACAGAGAAGTCTTCCACCTCTGAGGGCCACGTTTTTCTTCCCTGTTGGTCTGGCAGGACTCAGCCCACCTTGGAGACAGGAGTGTGTGGAGCGGGGAGGTGGAGCCGGCAGCAGGGCTGCAGGAGTCCACTCTGGCAGGTGGCCCAGGAGCCTGCCAGAGTGGAGTGTTGGGGGCTCCCATGGCGTGCATGACGTTACTGGGAACTTGTTACTCTGTCCCCAGAGCACCACGTGCCTATGCACTTCATCCTGGAAGGTGTTCTGAAAGGCTCCTGTCCGCCTGTAGGGCTCAGAGTGCCACACCTGCGGGCTCACAGCCACGGCTTGTGATGGTGGTGGTGCTGGGGACCTCTTCCTGGGTCCTTGACCACGAGGATCTTTTGTTGGCTTGTGCTTTCTTCTATGTCCATTACCTGGAATTTGGTAGATTGAGTGGATTTAGTTCTTGTTCGCAGAGAACTTCAGGGTGCAGGAGCCAGGAACCACATCTTGATCTTCGGGTTCCTGAACTCCACCATTGTGCGAGGCCTGCTTGCCGTGACCCCCCCAGCGTTACCATCACCTTTGTCTTTCGCACAGGTTTGGAAAGCCTGCTCGGCCCTAATTTGTAGCAGAGCCAAGATCCCAACCCAGTCATCTCATTTCAGCCCTGAAATTTTCGGGTGCTTCCTGCTTGGTCCTGACCCCATGAGCCATGGCTCTGGTCCTGCTGAGTGTTCTGTTGCAAATGGAGGAAGCTTACATCGCCTGAGTAGAAACCAGGCTGCAGGGCTCTGCTTCAATCAGTGCCTTCTCCAAGAGCCACCACAGAATGGAGCGGGGAGACACCTCCGTAGAGGCCCTTGTTTTCACACTGGTCCCTTCCAACCTGCGTGGGGGGCTGACACTCGCAGCCATCAGGCATCTGCAGTCCTATGGGACTGAGGAGGGAACCTCAGTGGAGAGGAGGGAAGGGAGGTGGGAAAGTGAGGAGGGGGGCCCTGGGGGAAGAGCGCTGGGCAGCGCCAGGGCCTGTATTCCCTGGGTAGGTGGGGTGTGAAAGCCCAGGTGGGGAGGTGCTCCGTAGAGGTCAGGGGGGTGTGTCTACAGGGGTGTTTCCCAGCTCCACGCTGTGGCGGCTCCTGGAGAAGGCACTGATCGAACTGGAGCCCTGCAGCCT